TCGTAAAAATGGAACCTAGAAACCCAATTTCTCATAGGTTAACTAGTTTATTATTTCTTTCCTTTTCGATCACGAAGTCAGTGTTCTAGAATGATGCAGAGGGGGGAGGGGAGACCTTTTCTTCTGAAGAGAGATATCACGGTTTAAGGTATCGAAATGGGTATGGAAAACTACCGCAGATGTTTTTAATAGGGTCCAATGATGGATATACGATGTTGACTTAAGAGAAAAGCGAGAAAACGAGTTTAAGTCTTTTAACCGCGCCAGGAAGTAGGTTCTTTGTTTAGATTGTCTCACGGAAGACATCAATTTTGCCGATTACAGCCTAGCTTCCCGCAAGATCCTTAAAATTATTGGTTGAATGGCGGGTGTATGTCTAGGATCTCCATTTAACTTTTCTTTGGTCCCCTCAGGGAACACGAAAGTGCTTCAAGGAAAAGTTTTCATCGGAGGTGACACATGTCATTCTCTGCAAAATAAATTTGCTTTTTCGTGTCTCTTTAATGTCTTCTAAGATCAGTTAAGTATCACTTGTCAGGTTTTCAGGCGAGATTCATTGTGTTGTTATTTGGTTTGTTATTATGTGAAACCTCCACTGGCGCCGACGGTGGGCACAATTTCAGTAAACCATTATACTGCATATCGTGGAATAAACCTTCCTCTGTCAGATTGTTTTTTAGAGATTAACCTTATGATACTGTAACTTTTTTTGCCTCAAATTTTGCAAAAATTGCGATGTAACTTTGTGAATAATTTAGTTTAGCCAGCACAAATCATTTTGCAGCTGCGACGGTAAGTTCTCAAAGGGCTTTTGAAGAAAAGTGAACTAAAATCAGTTGATAATTTGAATTTAAGGTTCTTCGTGATGAAACTTTTATAAGAAAAACAGATCAATTTGTCTAACAAAAAATGTCTTTAAAGAAAATGAGTTTCCGTGGGCGAATTTTATGCTCTTATTTTGTTTTTCTGGCGTGCAACATCGCCGTCAGCAATAAATTAACGAAACTGTCATCATAAAGCAAGATGTTTTTCGTTTTATCAAGAGCGTACGACTGAGAAAAAAAATTCTGAATCTTCTTGAGGAGTCGAGCATAAGACCTACGGCAAATTTCGCGTTCTGCTCCACTACTAAGCCACAGAGACTCTAGTAATGGTGGGTTAGATCATTGCCAAATGTAGTTTCATATGTAATTTGTTCACGTTTTAAATTTCTCTTTTTCAGAATATATGTGTTTACCTGCTTTTTGCTAATTGCGACTTCAAGCGCGTAAGGTCCTAGGGAGCACGAAGGCTTAAAAATGCACTGAAGGTACAAGGCTCGATTCATGCTAGTCCTAGCTCATGGTATTCTAGGTTTTTATTTTTGATAAAGATTTTTTTTGAGTACAGAGCTAGTTTTTCGAGTTTTTCCGCAAAGCTAAGTTAGACTGGTACTGAAAGCTTTTCTTGGTGAACATGGTATCGTGTGGTATCGTGTGGTTCTAGGCTGGGAATGTTATACAAACACAATTTTGATCCACACATTCCTTTTGCCTCAATAGGTTTTGAATCTGTGAGGAATTTAAGAGGCCATTTCCTCAATCTATTTTAAGTTATTTCGAAGACTTCTCTAAGACTTCATTTGATACGCTTTGGTATATGAATTAATGATTAGAGGGTAAAATCCCACTCTTAAAT